TGAATTTTCTTTTATTTATATATATTACCAGCTGTTTCCCCCATCTTTTCCAAAACCAAATCAATGTGTTTTGTATAGATTTTTTTTATTCCTTTATTATTTTTATAAACAACTCAAGGCAGTGAGCATACTTAATATACTTCCTCTTCCTTGTCCTTAAAGTTAAATAATATTAATACTTAAACAGCTTTATTATAGCTTTTTAAAGTATAGATTTTTTTCTTTTATCTTTTGTGAGATTGGTTCATATCTCAAGGAGAAAAGCTCTGAATCTTATTGACATTATCACCCCCAGGCATCTGTCTTCTAAGCTACATTGTTATAGGTGATACCATAGATAAAATTCAAGTTTCTCATTTTTATTTTTTAATCATTAGAAAGTCAGCAAGCAGTGTTATCACCCTAGGTCACTGGAGTTAGAAGACAGATGCCTGTGGGGTACTGCTTAGAACAGGAGTGTCAAATTCAAGGTGCGGGGGCCGGATTCGGCCCACGGGGTGCTTAGATCTGGCCTGTGCAGCTACTCTGGAAACAGTGAAGGACCGGCCTGCAGCGCCTCTGCCAGCAAAAACAGAGCTTGGAAGGGCTGTGTTTTTGCTGGCAGAGCACTCAGCCGAAAACGGAGATTGGGAGTCTGTTTTCACTGGCAGAGTGCTCAAGCCATCACAGGCGCCCCTGACATGAGTGATGTCGAGCTGGCCAAGCCCACCCCATCCCCCCAAAGCCAAACACAACCCTGATGCGTCCCTCAATAAAATTGAGTTTGAAACCCCTGGCTTAGAAGATAAGTGATAGCAGCAGGAACTGCCATTGTCACTTCAAAGCAGGAGATGGAACCAAGGATTGAAAACCCACATAGCTTCTGAAAGAAGATATTTGAGATCTCCTTCTACCCTATATGACTTAGCAAGCCCTCCATTGTTAATCCTATGTGCAATAAAAGATTTCTATTTATTGAACTGTTCTGGAAAGGTTGGTTAGAGGATCTCAAAGAAATCATAGAATTAGAACAAATTCTCCTTACCAATGTTGATTAGAAATTAGAAAATAAAGCATACTATTTTGTTTTACTTTAAATTCAATTTTGAGAAATAGACATACCCCTCTGATTGGGAACTTGTGACTTCTGGATTGGCCTTGGTAATATGCGTCTGTTGCTTATATGATACATATTGTTTAATTTTATTTGATTTAATTAGTTATATTTTGTTAATGTGGTATAAGGTCAAGTTTATTATTTTTATTGGAAAGAAATTATTGATTACTAATTTCTTACAGTTATAACTAGGTTATAATAGCTAAGTTTTAACCTAACTGTTTTGATTTATTGTATATTCAAATTCAATTGCTATTCCTTTACAGGTAGTTTTTAACTTGTGACCAGTCATTTCACAGCTATTCAAAGACCTCCCCCCCCCCCAAAAGGCTATATATACACGACCCTGTTCAAACTTACAGCAGCTGCAGTGTTTCCACAGTCATTCACCTTTACAACCTACCAGAGATCCTGCAATGGCCCTTCACCTCTGCCCCCATTCCACCCTGATGGGACCCCCCAGTTTTAAGTGCAATATAAATTGCACTTAGTATGTTCCGGGGGTGCGCATACGCTGTCTACGAGCGATTGCGCACTCCGGCCCCCAATGCGCGACTCGGGTCCTGGGTTGCACAGAGCCTCAGGCCCTGGGTCCGCAGCTAATGTTATGTAATGCCAGGTCAGTTGTTAACAAAGCTCCCCTCATTTGTGATCTTATATTGGAGGGGGGTTCAGACCTGGCAGGTATTACGGAGACCTGGTTGGGCCATGAGGGGGGAGGTTCCCCTCGTTGAAATGTGCCCACCAGGTTTCCATGCATTTCACCAGCCAAAGGCTCAGGGGAGGGGTGAGGGAGTGGCGGCGATTATTAGGGAAAGTCTTAGTCTGAGGGAGACCACTGTTCCTCAGATAGCCGGATATGAGTCCCTCCTCGTGAAGTGGGGCCGTGGGAGGCAGATGGGTTTTCTGACTATGTACCTGGCTGCCTGCCACGTGGTGGCGACCCTGCCCGAGCTGCTTGATGTTATTGCCGGGGTGGCGGTTGATACCCCCAGACTTATTGTCATGGGGGATTTCAACCTGCCATCTGCAGGTGAGGTGTCAGAGGTGGCTCGGGAGTTCATGGCTTCCATAGCGGCCATGGACCTGACCCAATTAGTTCAGGGCCCCACTCACACAGGGGGACACACTCTGGACTTGATTTTCGTCTCTGGTCAGTGGTTGAATGATCTTGGTAGAGGGGATTTAGACATTAAACCCTTATCATGGACAGATCATTCTCTGCTTTGTTTGGACTTTCCTGCCACTTCCCCCCGCCGCAGGGAGACAGAGCTGATCAAATGGTTCCGTCCCAGGCGTCTGATGGATCCCGAAAGGTTCCTGACGGAGCTTGGGCCATTTTGGCACACAACTCGACTGAAGACCTGGTGGCCGCCTGGGAGATTGCGGCCACCGGGGCTTTGGACCACGTCATGCCTTTGCGGCCTCTGACCCGATGCCGACCTCAATTGGCTCCTTGGTTCTCCAAGGAGCTGAGAGAGATGAAGCGTCGGAAAAGACGCCTAGAGAGCATTTGGAGGACTAGTCAATCTGATTCCGACCGGACACTGGTGAGATCTTATATCAAGACCTACCTAGTGGCGATAAAAGCGGCAAAATCTATTTTTCCGCTCTTATCGCATCTGCAGAGAACCGCCCAGCCGCTCTGTTTAGGGTGACCCACTCCCTTCTTCGGGGGAGTGCGGGAAGATCCCTTGCAGGGTTGAGCTGAGGATTTTGTGCAATTCCTGCATGATAAAGTCGCTCGGATTCGGGAAGGCTTGGACTCCGACTGGGTGAGTCCGGGAGAGGAGACGAGGGTAGGTCTTGAGAACATTATCTGGGAGGAGTTTGATCCTGTGGCTCCCGAGGATGTGGACAGGTTCTGGGTAGGATTAGTGCCGCCACATGTTTATTGGACCCATGTCCCTCCTGGTTGGTACTGGCCTCCCGGGAGGTTACACGAGGCTGGCTCCAGGGAATTATAACTGCTTCTCTGAGTGAGAGTGCCTTTCCCGCTGCCTTGAAAGAGGTGGTGGTGAGGCCCCTCCTCAAGAAGCCTTCCCTGGACCTGGCTGAATTAGCCAACTACTGTCTGGTCTCCAACCTTTGTTTTGTGGCAAAGGTTGTTGAGAGTGTGGTGGCACGACAACTGCCCAGGCACCTGGATGAAGCTATTTATCTGGACCCGTACCAGTTGGGCTTCAGGCAGGGGTACAGAACAGAAACGGCATTGGTCGCGTTGGTGGATGATCTCTGGAGGGCTCGGGACAGGGGTTGTTCCTCTGTCCTGGTCCTGTTAGATCTCTCAGCAGCTTTTGATACCATCGACCATGGTATCATGCTGCAGCGGTTGAGGGGGTTAGGAATAGGGGGCATTGTTTTGCGGTGGTTCTCTTCCTTCCTCTCCGACCGCTCGCAGTTCGTGTTGACAGGGGGGCAGAGGTCGACTTTGAGGCGCCTCGCATGGGGAGTGCCCAAAGGGTTGGTCCTCTTGCCCCTTCTGTTCGACATTTATGTGAAGCCGCTGGCTGAGATCATCCGTGGTTTTGGGGTGAGAGTCCACCTGTACACTGATGATACTCAGTTGTATATCTCCACCCCAGACCATCCCAATGATGCCCTTGATGGGATGTCTTGCTGCCTGGAGGCCGTGCGGGTCTGGATGGGGAGAAATAGGCTCAGACTCAACCCCTCCAAGACTGAGTGGCTGTGGTTCCCGGCGTCACGATATAGTCAGTTGGTACCATCGCTTACTATTGGGGGTGAGTCTTTACCCCCCCAGAGAGGGCTCACAATCTGGGCGTCCTCCTGGATGCACGGCTGTCTTTAGAAGAACATATGACGGCCGTGGCCAGGGGGGGCTTTTATCAGGTTCGCCTGATTCATCAGTTGCAGCTCTTTCTGGATCGCGATGCCTTGCGCACAGTCACTCACGCCCTTGTCACCTCCCGACTGGACTATTGTAATGCTCTCTACATGGGGTTCCCCTTGAAAAGCACCCGGAGGCTCCAACTGGTCCAGAATGCGGCCGCGCGGGTGGTTATGGGCGCAACTTGTTGTGCCCACATGACACCCCTCCTGCTCCAGCTGCACTGGCTCCCAGTGGTCTTCTGGGTGCGATTCAAGGTGTTGGTTACCACCTTTAAAGCGCTCCATGGCATTGGACCCGGGTACCTTCAAGACCCTCTTCTGCCACCAGTAGCCTCCCACCGGCCAGTCCGCTCCCACAGAGAGGGTCTCCTCAGGGTGCCATCAGCCAAATTATGTTGGCTGGCGACACCCAGGGGGAGGGCCTTCTCTGTGGGAGCCCCTGCCCTTTGGAATGAACTGCCCCCAGAAATGCGTAAGATCTCCGATCTCTGTGTATTTCACCGTGTGCTCAAAATCTTGTTGTTCCGCCAGGCCGGGCTATCAATGTAAAGATTTTAATTGGTTTTAAATATGGGATTTTAAATTTGGGGGTTTTATAATTGAGCCAATTATTTAATAATTTTAATTATTTTTAAATTTTGTCTGTCTTTGTGTTTTTAATCAAGCTGTACACTGCCCTGAGTCCTTCGGAAGAAGGGCAGTATAGAAATAAAATAAATACATAAATAAATAATAAATAAATAAATATTTTGGTTTGTCACACAGACAGCCAGAAGTTAGACTGGAATTGGCATTTTTGTCTACTTACCAAGTCCTTTCCAAGGAATTGGGATAGGTAGTTGTGGATGTTTGATATTGTTGCAGAGATCATCATGGGATATAAGGTGTTCTACATAAAACTGCCTTTTGCAGTTGGCTGATAAATAAATGTTATTATTATAAATAAATATTTTTAAATAATTTATTAAATAAATTATTTTATTATTTAATAAAATAAATAGGCAAATACTGAATGCTGTTCAAATCAAATAAGTTCGTTAATAATACGTACTTTTTTATGACAGCTGATATCTTTGTAGTATATATATCTCCTGGTACTGGTTCATAAACAGCTTCTACTATCTACAAAATAAATAGTTGCTGTCATTTTTAAAGTGATTTTTATATTGTAATTTTCCATTTGATTTGCATGGCAAACTTCACATAATTAGCTTCCTCTTATAGCTATCACTTACAAACTATAAAACAGATATGTGTACAGTTTTTACATCTGATTAAATAAATTGCTTTATGAATGTGATATCCATATAAGTAACTCATTCAAAAATAATCAATAATATCAATAATGATTCATATTTCTTCTTCTTCTTCTTCTTCTTCTTCTTCTTCTTCTTCTTCTTCTTCTCTTCTTCTTCTTCTTCTTTCTTTCTTCTTCTTCTTCTTCTTCTTCTTCTTCTTCTTCTTCTTCTTCTTCTTCTTCTTCTTCATTTTACCCATTGTCTATCCACTGTGAGATGAAGGCCTCTTCCACATGATTCCAACCAATATGGTCCTGAGCTTTCTTTTGACCGGCAATTTCATCTGAATAAATGCAGTTATTTAATTTATATGCCATCTTTCTATTCAATCAAGTATTCTAACTTGCTAACCATAATAAAAATATAAATATAAAGTGGAACTTAAAATTAATAGTTGAAATAAGGCAAAAATACTTAGTAGTGAGAAGCCTTGTGGAATAAATAATTTCTTGGCTAGTTTTCAAATGGTAAAGATAATAAAGTCTCATACAAATCCTGGGGAAGGCATACCTGGGACAGATGTGTGATGCAGGAGCAATATAAGAAATACATTCTAGATTTTAATGTCCAGACAGATTTATAATAAGAGATACAGTCCCTCAATCATGCTTAATCTATTTAGAGATTTACTGATTAACACCAATGCTCCAAAGGTATGTTCCTCCATGAGACATTTTGTGCAAAATAGTTTATTTTTGGATGAAGCTTCTTGGATGAGAAGCGAAATGTCTTCAAAGAAAAAAAAATAAGCCCAGTTGTCTCTTGAAAAAGCACTTTTGGGACAGTCATGACCTAGACGATTGAGAACCTCTATAGACGTTTAGCTATGCACTTTGCAATGAACACCCTTTGAATGGTGCGGGATTATGAACAGATTTCCAAAAATTGCAGACTACAGGGACCATTTGCACTTCAGTTTGAGATGCAGACAACACAGACTCATCCCCAACAGCCTGTGCCCTTGTTCAACAGTGAAAGGATAGAGGGCAGAAAACAGCTCCATAACAGTCCTTTCAGCAGTTCCAAGAAGGCTCCATACCCATTTGAACTACTCAGGTGACCCTGAGAACACAGACAAATGTCCAAGTGTCCTCAACATCTCTTTAAAAGAATACAAATGACCAGCTGCCTGCAAGGAATATAATTCCTTCCATTCCCCACCATACTGTAAGAGGTGAAGCAGCTTCTTGGATGAGAAGTGAAATGTCTTCAAAGAAAAACAAGAAAGTCTAGTTGCCTCTTGAAAAAGTACCTTTAGGCCAAGATCAATTTTAGGGGACTGAAGGCAAATAGGTCCATTATGCACTGCAGAGTGTTATTTATTTCCAAAGCATGGTAATGTTAACATGTTTACATTTTGCTGTTGAAATGTGAAATCTGGAAAGCTCCAAGAGTTGTAAAACATCAAGATGTACAAAAATGTGTCTGGGCAGTGTCTGAAGCCTATGGGTTGCCAGTCCTATTTTAATTAATTTTGAGTAATATCTCAGTAACAGAAAGTGATAAAAATAATACCTTGTGAACCACAATGCATACCTAAAAATAAGGAAGTATCCATAAAAGAGAATATTTGTAGTTCAAGTTGAACTGTGGGAGCCTTGGTGCTCCCTGAACTTGGCGGATTTCTTGCAGAGGTTTCATTACTAAATTAGGCCGATGATGTTGCCTAGTTTAGTAATAAGATGTCTCCAAGAAAAACACTAAGGACCTCATAAATAAAGAAGAGAGGGGAAGTTAAGGAGATTGATTTCTAAAATTAAAAAATGAGCCGTCAGCCTCTTAAACCCAAAGTCATCAAAGCTTTTAATCCAATACTTAATTTAGGGCATCTGGAGAACCTTTCATATATATATATAATCTAGCAGTTTATCTATGTCAGAACAATTATCAAAGCTATTTCTCTAGACCTGTTATAAAATTCTTATGAAATGCAGGATTGCTGCCTGCAGAACATTTCCAGTGTGGTATAACATATAGGATTAAAAAGACAATTAAATGAAACAAATAGGCAAAGGTAAATGGTATAATCTCATTTAGCAAACCTGCATACTTTAGTTGCTAAGGAGAGCATGTTGGCACTATAAAATGGAGGGTTGAGTGTTGCCATCTGATATAAAACACATCCTGCAGCCCAGACATCAGCCTTCTCACCATATGGCTCACTCTTTACAACTTCAGGGCTGCATAAACAAAAACAAAATACTGTATGCAATACAAAAAGGACAGGGGAGAAGTCACCAAATATACATTACCATGAAAATCCAGAAGTTTATAAAAAGTCTCTATAAAAATACAAACAATTTAGAGTTTATGTAGAAAGATAATGGCTATTCAATTTCCCAACCTAGCCTATAAAAATTACTTGGAGTAGAATTCATTCTGATAACAACATTAATGTGATTTCCCGTTTTGTAGCACAAAAGTATGCTAGTATAATTCTGACAGCAAGCTGGTGCTATTCTTCCAGTTTTAATATAGGATAACTTAAGGAAAGTGACTGGTAGATTTCCTGCTAGTGGGAAAAAAATCGCGAATTACTATCCCTAACATGGATTAGGAAGGAGGAAAATTTTAGTAGATGCCTAGATCCATGAGTTTGGATATCTGTCAAAACCTCATCTCTGAGAGGGGTGGATTGTTCTGTGGTAAAGCAGGAGAGGTTATTTTCTATATCACCAAGATCCCCAAATACAGGTAGTCCTCAACTTACAACAGTTCATTTAGTGACTGTTCAGTTACAATGGCATTAAAAAATATGACAGTTTTCACAGTTACAATTTTTGCATCATCCCCATGACCATGTGATCAAAATTCAGATGCTTGGCAACTAGTTCATATTTATGACCATTGCTGTATCTCAAAGTCATGGGATCACCTTTGCAACCTTCTGACAAAGGGGAAGCCAGATTCACTTAACAACCCGGTTACTGATTTATCAGCTGCAAGGATTCATTTAACCATAGCAAGAAAGGTTGCAAAATGGGGCAAAACTCATTTAACAAATGTCTCACTTAACAACAGAAATTTTGGGCTCAATTGTAGTTGTAAATTGAGGACTATCTGTATTTATTTATTTATTTATTTATTTTATTTTGTCGCATTTCTATGCTGCCCAACTTCCAAGGGACTCTGGGCAGCTTACAACAGAGAATAAAACAATGCAACAATATCCCATACAAAAGTTAAAAGAAAACATTAAAAAATTAAAACATTAAAACACATACAGTCCAATTTGTGGCCAGGTCTCGCAAGATCACTATAACGAGATCAACGGCTCCAGGCCTGCCGGAAGAGCCAGGTCTTCACCGCTTTCTGGAAGGCCAATAGGATGGGGGCGGTCCGGTTCAGGAGGTAATTGGTTCCAGAGAGCCGGGGCAGCCACAGAGAAGGCCCTCCCCCGCGGGCCCGCCAGCCAACATTGTTTAGCTGACGGGACCTGGAGGAGACCGACTCTGTGGGATCTTACCGGTCGCTGGGAGCTATGTGATAGAAGGCCATAGAACTCTAGATTATTTCAGTCAACCTGTAAATTATTTTGCTTGTTCTTTTTTGCTTTTATCATTCTTGTTCTCATTTTCACCCAAATTTTCCTTATTATCTCTTTTTTGCTTATTTATTCCTCATATTTAATCATATTCTATATGATTAAAGTCTAAAAACAGCTAATTGGAGCTGCTGCCAGGTATCACTCCTGTCACTCATGCAGCCCTGGCATTGTAGCATTGTTGCTCCCAATGCCAGAACCATAATCAAAACCTGCAGCACTAGTTACTTTACAAAAGGCAGCAAACAGGCTTGCAATTACTTTAGCTTTTTATTGGTATCTATCAATAACAAAGATTTTAAGGAAATCATTTAATAATTGCCTTTTCAGATTTCTAAGACAATTGTCTGCAATATAATCAGATTTCCCTTTCATTTTTGGGAGCTTCAGTGGTTGTGACCAGTTTTCATTCATTGGTTCTAAAATGCTGGATTAATACCCTCCTCCACTTAGAACTTTAATTTAACATTTAATTTAAATATTTAAACATTTAACATTTAAAAATTTTACAATTGCTTTGTAAAACTGTAGCAAACAGTCTAAATAATAAATGAAATAAATTCATTCCTTTTTGTACCATGTCAGCAGCTGTTTAATCTTACATTAATCCAGAGGCTAAACAGAGCTAGCATTGGTTAGCATTTGGATGATAGACCTGCAGTGGCTAAAGAATAGCCTGGGAAGATGTAAAAGCATTCCAGAAGAAGCCAAAGGCAATGAAATTTATATTTTCATTGTCAAGGAAATAACATGAACTCAACACAATTTGATTTGATTCAAATTCATAAAAGGAACTTATTCATAAAAATCAGTATCTGTTTTTACCTTTCAGTCATATATCTAATCAAGAAGAAAAATCACAGTACATTGGTTACAATAGTTATTGTCTAGCTTAACTTTTTTCAAATTTATGCTTTCTTTTTATATTTAAATAGATTTATATTTAAATTTATATAATAAATAATTAATTTTGATAATTTGGAAATAGTAAGATTTGCATTCCCAGAGCAATGTATTAAATTCTGTTTGATAAGAAAAAAAATAATAAAATGAGAGCAAGTTTGGTGTAGTGGTTAAGATATTGGCCTAGAAACCAGGACACTGTGAATTCTAGTCCTGCCTTAGGTTCAAAAAACTAGGTAGATTACTTTAGGCCAGTCATTCTTTCTCAATTTAACTCATCTAAAATAGTTGTTTTAAATACAGTTAATTAATCTACTGGTTAGCCTCAAAACTGAAAAGCCTTCAAAGTCAGCTTCAAAAGAAACTCTAGCACACATTATGATCAGTTTGAATTTATTACCATTTCAGCTACAGAATGAGAAAGGGCACAGAACAAGAAGTAAATTTATTTATTTATTTCATTTTTTTAACCCCACTTTATTATTTTTATAAATAATACAAGGCAGTGAACATATCTAATACTTTTTTTCCCTCCTATTTTGTTCAGAACAACAATCCTATGAAGTGGATTGACTTGAGAGTGAGTTACTGACTAACTACATTACTATGCATTACGATCTGTGACCCATCAAATTTAGTCCTGGGGCCCTCTTTTTTTCATCCCCATAAACCATGCAAGTACTATCATATTTCAGCATCAAAGCATCAAAAATTACATAGGAAAAAAATTAAACTATTTTTCAATAAAATATACCAAATAACAGTTGTGTTAAACCTGACAGAATAAATTATTCCTATTGACAGAAAATATAAGTTCTCAGATTGTAAAACAATATTAAGAGCTCTAGTCCTGCTCTCTTTGATGAGGTTATCATTCCTACACACTGTAAAAAGGATGCTTCCTTATTTAGGCTTTGTATGGATAGTTCCTTCCATTTGCATTCAGAACACTGAGGTCAAGATTAAATATAATTGCTTGTAAACACACAGTTTATCACTGTTTATTTATTATGTTAAACAGCTTATTTAAAAACAATTTTGTACTAAGCAGTACAAAAATAAAAGCAATTTATTTAAAAGATTAATATTAATTGTAATTAATGTGTAAAGAAGGTCAACATTGAGACCTGTTGATTCATATAGAAGTCAATACATACAGTATGCATTACTGCAGAGATGTTCTATTTTTGGTCATCACGGGATCAGTCACAGGAATTTGGGTGATCATATTTTTTTATATGTCCTTATGACATTGTATTCATCTCCCACCCCACAGCTGAGACAGCTTTTTTTTCCCAATCCAAGTTTTTTTTATCTTATATTATTTGTACATATCGATGCATGCATGAATGGTGTGCTATCTGAGTTTCATACATTTCAATAAAAATAAACACCATATTATTACACACAACTATTACATTTCATTTTCATTGTTTCAAATTATTTGCACATATCCTTTACTGCAGTTCTAAACCTTCTTCTTTCTTACTTACTCTTCCATATATCTTCATACATTAGTATATATATGTAAATATATATATTTATCATCATCAACTAGCTCATCAACTAGCTCATCAACTAGCCATCCCCTTACTTGCTTACTGCTTAACATGTAGGCAGCCCAAGTTCGAATCCAAGTAGGGATATGGCTAGCTGATGAGCGCTAAATAGCTTGAAATAGATCTATCCTAGTCTCCCTTTATTTCTTTATCAGCAAAATATAAATTTGGTATAAAATGGTTTGTCGTAAATGCAACTCCTTGAGAGCTCCTGGACTAGAGTTGAAAGGCGAAAGGAATGCAGTATGTTCCCTCCCATATGCTGGGATAGACCAGGTGCCTCGATAGAAAAACACACAAACACACACACATATATATAAACTTTCCCCCCCTCCTGTCACTATAATATTTGAAGATGTGATAATAACATTTCTTTTCTTTTCTGTTCCCTACTATTACCACACATATTTTTCTTACAATACATTCTTTCATTTTCTAATCACCCATTATTTAATTCAAGCATGTTTTTATGCTGATTTGATAATACTATCATTCAGACTATAAATTTTCAATTAAAAACTTAATTCTTCTTCATATTTCCCATCCTTGAAATTCTACTATTAATACACATGTTTACATTAAAATATATTCTTCCATTATCTAATCACCTGTTATTTAATTCTGGCATTTCACTATTAGCCATATTTTAATACATATTTAACTTCAAACTACATACAAAGTAACTATCCATTATATAGTTCTAATATTAATGCACATTATTAAAATATTTTCATGAAATACCTTTTGCTTTACTTTCCCTTTCTTTTTCTTTATCCATCATCTCTTGCCAGTATCCCAATTTTTAGTCGTCTTTTTTTTGTTGCCTCCCATATCCTTCGATTCTTTTATTTCATCTACGTTTAAGTCTATTTTTTGCTATGTATTCTAGCTTTTTCTCCCCTCTCTACCTTTCCCCACTGTCTAGTTTGAAGCTGTCTATTCTAGCCCCTGTCTCTTTTCTCCAGCCATCTTCCTGTTCCTCCCATTCCCTTTTTAAATCTTTTAAAATATTTTTCTCTTGTTTTCATTCCTTAGTCACTATTAATTTTATTAATGTCTCCTCCTTGTTGTCTTCTTCTTGCTGGTTTGTCGGTTCTGGTGTCTCCTCCATTACTTCTAGGAGCTCCATTTCTTCCTCATTGTCCTGTTCTTTGCTCATTGTTCCTTTTATTCTATTTTCCAATTTTTGGTTTATGCAATCAAGTATTTCCATCATCTCCTTATGTTGTTCTTTTATGAAATCCTTAATGTTTTGATACATCAGCTCCATTTCATTATCTCCACTTGCTTCCATCTTATATTATGTCTTTGCTTAACAACTCTCCTTTTGGGCCAATTGTCCAGAAATTATTAAAATCACAATTTTAAATGTCTATCAATCTTTTAAATGTCTAACAATCAATCCAATTTCACAAAACCAGGGGGTTATCCACCGGGGGTTATCCACCAAATAAAATCACTTTTATTTATTCAACAATGTTCAGGGGTCTCTTGACTAACGATCTTGTTTAATGTCCAATGGTTTTAAAGTAAATACTTGTAATCCAGCAAATGTAGATGATTATTCCCAAGATTGCACAATTCTCCTTTTAGCAGCAAATGGCACTTTAACTTCAACTTGCTGCAGCCTCTCTGCGTTATTGCTGTCAATTCTGATTTTAATTATTTAGAATTGTGAATCTGATAAGTGGGCAGTATTAATAGAAAAATGGTTCCAGATCTAATTCCAATGTTTTACAATGCTTTTCAATACGTCTTGCACTTTGAAAGTTTATATTTCTTTTTCTTGGTTTTTTTTAAAAAAATTATCTTCTTAAATCCTCCTTATTTTTTTTTAACATTCTTATTCGCTGCTGGCAAATGGTTCTAAATATGCTTCCCCCTTGGATTTCTTGTGGTCATTTTCCAATAAAAAGTATTCTCTCACCCAGTTCACACACCACACACTTTCTCCACTCCAGCACTGTCTTAGGTATTCAGGCTGTCTTCGGCTTCATGGCAGCCATGTTTACTGCTGCTGCTCCAAGTCTTTGTGAGGGGGCTTTCCTAGTCAGGGAAGAGAGATGCGGTTCTCCTCGACCTGTCAGGTGGTCCCTCCAGGGTGGCTATGGCTCGATTTTGAGCCCTCCAACGAGGAGAGATCGGAACAGGGACGCAGAGATCATGGTCCAGCTTCCAAAGGCACCGGAAGTACAACCAGAAGTGAGCTGAGACAGTTTTAAACTGTTTTTTAATATTTTAACTGTTCCAGTTTTAAAGTGTTTGCCTTCCTTCCCTGATTTCCACTTGCTTTACTTGTGATCTAGTATTTGGCAGATGATGATCAGAGGTCAGGATTTATTGGCTAATTTAGGCTGTTCCTTTCCCCTGGGAACTCTTAGAGATTTAAGTTCTGCATGTGCACATCAGATTTCATGAGAACAGGTATCTGACTTGAGTATAATAACTGAAGTAGTTTATAAGTATCATGAAAAAGAAATTTATTTATAGGAATGTGTTATAGGAATAGGCAAAGCATAGCCTCTAGCTAATTACATCCTTCTGTGAAAAAAACTCCCAAAATATGTACTATGTGAATATGCCTGTACCAGTCTTAAACATTATCTGTATTTTCAAAAACATTTCAGAGTCACATACAGAACCCGAAGCCATTCTGAAAAACTAAAAGGTGAACAAAATGTTTTGTTTTGAAATTTGGCTAATCCACTAGAAGAAATTATAAAAGGTAGCTTCGCCAATACTTCTGTATAGTGATTAAGTCATCATGCCAGGAAATTATCAGCTACTCTACCTTAGGCATGAAAGCTGGCTGTGGTGGGACTTTGGCCAAGCATTCTCTAGCCCAACCTACCTCACAGGATTATTGTTGTGCAGAAAGTAGGAAGAGAAAGTAATATTAGGTATGCTTGCCACCTTGAATTATTTATAATAAATGTTAAAGTCAAGATATAAGTAAAAACAAACTTAGAGTAGAGGTATTTTGTAAAAAGTGGTGTCCACTAGACCAACCATTTTGTGAGTGCCTATAACTTTCTCAAACTTCCAAATGTGTCCTTGCCCTAAGCCAAAACATAGTTTAGCAACATATGAACTTTGTTAGTAACTGATAGCTAATTCCCATGAGCAGCAGTAATAGGACAAGACTCAACTTCAAAAAAGCTTCCAGCAAGCACAAGCATAACCATTTTAATCACTCTTGGCCAATAAAAAATTCTATTCTATTATTCTATTCTATTCTATTCTATTCTATTCTATTCTATTCTATTCTATTCGTCTGCTACTCATCATCTCTTGGTACATTCACAAGAAGTAATGACACTTTAGAAAAAAGACTTCCAAACTCTAAACCTAATATTCTCTTACCAGGAATACAGAATAGTTCCAACAACTGAAGTGAGTTTGCTGTTCTCCTGTTTTTGCTTTGCAAGACCAAAGTCAGCTGGAAATATAGAAGAAAAGCAAATTATGTTTCTTATAGAAGGTTCACTGTTTCAAGAATAATAAAAGTTCATGTAAAAGAATATTTTTCTCTGTCCTTTTATACCACTAGCTCTTAATTCATTCAATTTGCTCATCTTCTACATTTGCCTCTGAAATGGATTTCAATCAGATGTAACAATTTTGAGGCAGTTGCATGCCACAATTCTAATTTACAGTGCCATTCATTCTGATACCCTATGCCAGCAGCATAGAAATGAAACACTGTTTAAATATGTATAAAAACCCATTTATGAAGATTAAAACTGAACAAATGCCAAACCCAAAAACATACCAACAAAATAAATACTTAAATATTTTTTTATTTTTCAAAACTATATCAGCTAGCAATCTTGGCAATACTGTAATTGAAGAACAGTAATTTTGAGAGAATCAAAACCGGAGAAAAAACAATACACTTTTTATTCAAATATGCATAAATCATGGTAGAGAATTGACATGATATGGATGTCATCGGAATTGGAAGAGAATATACAAGAAGTAGAAGTGGAATCAAGCATTTGGGCAGACCACAATTCAATAAAAGCTAAGTGGAAAGGACAAATAAGAAAACCAAGATGGACATTCAGTCAGCACTGAAAGATAAAAAGTTTGTACAAAAAATGGAGAAGGAAATGGATTTCTTTTTTAAAAAGAATAATAATGGAGAAACATCCCTGAAAAATGTATGGGATATGGCCAAAGCATACTTTAGGGGATTAGCGATCTCCTATATAGGAAGAAAAATAAGGAGAAGAAAAAAAAGACGAAAGGGATTAGAAGAAAAATATAAAAGACTCGAATTGAAATTAAATGGCAAAAAACCAAACATGAATTACACATCTTAAAGAGGAATTGGCACAAAAAATTAAAGCAGCCAAACAGAACTTCTTCAAAAATGCAAACAAGCCGGGGAGGTTTCCAGTTGGTGTCATGACGTCTCAAATGGGGAATTAGCGGGGCTCCTTGGAGCCCCGCAAAAAAACCCGTCTGTTAAGCCACCGCCGGCAGGTCGATGGATCTACCCTGTCCTGTAGGGACAGGGGGATAGACAGGGACCCCTCGGATGGCGAGAGGAACGGGCAGGTTCCTTGGGGACGGAGGATTGCCCTCTGCGCCGGCAGCGGTGGATGCGGCAGCCATGGCGGCTGCCCCGAGATAGTGACAATTGGAACAAAAGGATATGCAGCAGGAGAAGCGGAGAGCAGAACGGGGAGTTTGAAAGCCGAGTGAGTGGAATGCTGCCTAGGCGGGAACTGCCCGTAAAAGCTGGATTATAAATAAGTATGCCCCAGCCTTAACAGCGGCTGACAAATATTGGGGCAAAAAGACTCAAATGAATGGTGGAGAAAAGACCTGTTGATAGATAGCGCTAATTACAGACTTCTTGGAAATGATTTTATTATAGATTTGGTCTTCTTTTTTCTTCTTTTTTTTTGTGGCTAAACGAGACTGGATTATGTTTGAGAGAGAGGAAGGAAAAGAGGAAATAAATATGCTTTTAAAAGTAAAGACAAAAGACAAACGGAGATGGAAAAAATGGCTGCCAGCTGAGAGTGAAAGTGTAAATTCCATACTGCTTGTTAGTTGAAAGAGAAACTTTGTTGCTTGTTGCTTGTTACTAAAAGTGGATTATTTTGAGAAAAAATTCAAGAGGCTTGACTTTGGACATATAATCTGTGTAATGGAGGATTTATTGAAGATCAGAAAGAAGAAACTAAATGGAATAATGAAAACTGATTTAATAAGCGTGGCAACAAGAGAAAAAGGGCATGGTAACAAAAGAAGGACATAATGATATTATATATGGAATAGCCAATTCAGAATTAACTTTATAGAACTTATAACTTTGAGGACATTGAAATGGAAAATAAATACATTCCGAAAGATTGGAGAAAGAAAAAAAAAAGGAATATATCATGTAACAAGATAACAAAATACCAGTTTGAATCAAATGGATGTAATGGTGTCTGGGAGTTTGATGTTTGAATAATCTTAGGAGATACTTTCCTTCTTCTCTTTTGCTCTTTCTCTATTTTTTTTTCTTTCTTTTTCCTTTTCCTTTTTTGTCTCTTTTCCCCTCTCTATTTTTTCTAACACTCTTTTCAATTTCTCGTTATACTTCTATTCTCTTTCCTTTTTATTTTTGCTTCTTTTCCTTTTTTTATTTTAACTATTATTAATATTGTTACTATTCTCTCTTTTTATTCACTATTATTTTTATTAAAGTTGATTTTATGAATATACAAACAATTTGATTAGGAAAAAAGAGTATAAATGATTGAAAAACATGATTTTTGGATGTCTCAATACTTTTTTAAATTTGGAATTCTTAAGCTCTATTTACAGACCTAATAATTTAGAAGAAAATGTTTTTTAAGGTGCTGGACATTAAAAAGAATTATTTACAGATTTAATAATTATAGAAAATTGATTTTAAAGTGATTTAAAATGTTGATACTTATTGGAAATAAGCATGGCATGGAGGAAAGCCTAGGAGAGAATGGGAGTTAAGATATTTGTTGATATACTTTTTTATCTTAAATCAGTTAAAGATACGGAGGAGAATGGATTTAAAAATAAATATGAGTAATACATTTGAATTAATTAATTGTAATTTAATTTAATTAATTAAAATAAAATGCTATGAATCAGTTAAACAAATGAAGTTAGGAGTGGAACGAAGCATGATTCTGGAGAACAGTGAAAGTAAAGCTGTGATCTAGTCTTACAAATAAGATAGGAATGGAGGAAAGCATCATACTGGAGAACAGTTAAAGCAAAACTGGGAACCAGTTAAAAATAAAAATAAGAGTTAGGAGTGGAGGAAATAGCTATATTTATAGCTATAAATAGGAAATAGAAATAATAGCTACCAAAAAGGCAACTTTGCACGTTAAAACCCGAAGGCTAGTTGTCCGCAAGGGTTCGTACGGAGCAGCCGTGAGTGAATTAAGAACAATGGAGAGGTCCCAAGTCGGGTATCTATGGAGAACTGGCGGGCAGAGATTTGTAGCACCTCGCAGGAAACGATGGATCAAGGGGTGCTGGGCCAGGGAAGATAACGACCCGAAGGTAAGTATCGACGAGATCGCCGCCATCTGCCTTCTCAATGTGTTGGGGGAGAGCCCTTTGGAAAAGCCCTCCTGCAGAAAAACCAATATTTTGACGACCGAGGCGTGAAGGGGCGGAACCCCATTCCGATCACACCATGCACAAAAGGCCCGCCAGGTGGCCGAATAAATCCGGTCTGTAGAAGGCCACCTTGAAGCCTGAATGGTGCAGATCACGTCGGCAGGGATGTTGGCCTCTCCTAGCACATGCCGCTCAACCGCCAAGCGGTCAGACAGAGCCACTGCAAGTCCGGATGCCTCACGGCTCCCTGAGTTAGTGCGTCCCCCGGTTGAGGCAACTGCCAAGGTTGGGCTGTCGACAGCGACACTAGGTCCGCCAACCAGGGACCTGCGTGGCCAATGCGGGGCCACCAGTATGATCTCTGCCCTCTCCAGCAACACCTTGCGAACCATTAGAGGGATCGGAGGAAATGCACAGAGAAGCCCTGGGGGCCACAGAGAGTGGAGGGCATCGACGGCCTCCGCATGAGACAACGGGTACTGCAAGATGAAGCACGGCAACTGAGCATTGTCCGATGTGGCAAAGAGGTCGATCACCGGAGTCCCAAAACGTGCTATGATCTGGCGGAAGATGTGCAGATGGAGATGCCATTCCACGTGATCCAGTCGCTAACGGCTTAACCAGTCTGCTTGTATATTGGAGACTCCGGAGATGTGTTCTGCACGCAACGAGGCAAGGTGTAGTTCCGACCAGAGTCCCAACCGCAACGCCTCCGACATCAGGGAGAGAGACGGTGTGCCCCCTTGCCGATTGACATGGGCCTTCACTGTGATATTGTCAGTGAGGACCAGGACGTGGGAGTTGGATATGAGGTGATGGAAGGCTCGAAGCACCAGGTAGATTGCCCGCAGTTCCAGCCAGTTGATGGGGCGACGGGAGTCGACAGAAGTCCAGATGCCCTGAGCAACCTGACCTCGACAATGGGCCCCCCAGCCCTGAAGACTGGCGTCTGTTATCACCACTACCCTCTGTGGATCAAACAACAAACAACCTCGGGATATTGCAGGAGACCTCCACCACCTTAAAGACCTGCTCACTCTCCTAGGGACAGGAACGTTTGTGGGAGAAGTGCCCCTACCCGCCTTCTGCAACGGCAAAAGGAACCACTGAAGTTCCCTCGTGTGCAGTTGGGCCCAGGGAACTATCGAGATGGCGGAAATCATTTTGCCCAGAAGTTGGGACAGAACAAGAGGAGACACAGATCTAGCCCGTTCCACTCTAACAACCAAAGACCTCAAGCTGTCCTGTTGTTCCCGCGAGAGGAAGACCCTCCCCTCCACCGAATCTATCAGAGCTCCCAGATGAACTAAATGAGTAGAAGGGACTAAATGGCTCTTCTCCAAGTTAATGGAGAAGCCATGGGCAGCTAGAGTCTGGAGGGTAAGCTGTAGGTCAGAGGCAGCTTGCTGCTGAGAGGAGGACAAAATTAAAATATCGTCCAAATAGCATTGTAGACGAATAGACTTAGGTCTAAGGGATGCTGCTAAGGCAGCCAGTACCTTGGTGAAAGTGCGAGGGGCAGAGGAGAGGCCAGAGGGTAAAGCCCGGTACTGGTAATAGCGCCCCCCATAGAAAAAAACGGAGAAACTTCCGATGAGAAGGGAGGATGGGAATGTGGAGATAGGCCTCGGTGAAGTCTATAGAAGAGAGGAGATCGCCCCTCCTAACGCCGTCGAGAATAGACTTCAAAGACTACATCTTGAACTTACGGTATGCAACATACCGGTTGAGTCGTTTAAGGTCCAGAATAGGTCTCCACCCCCCCGAAGACTTTGGTACCAGAAACACACGGGAATAAAATCCCATGCCCTGCTCAATTTCGGGCAC